CGTCTGCTTTAGAATACGTCCAATTCGGAATACGTCCTGTTTGGACGAAACAAATTTTGCTCGGTATATGACTTTCGTTCGGTATACGGCTTAATTCAATTATACGCGCCATCTATTAACAAGTAGCACTATCGGGGCATTAGACCAGACTAGACGTTCGCTGTGCCACAGTTTATAGAGAGGTTGAGGCACAAGTTCAAACATTAAACGTGTACGGGTAGCAGAAGTACACGTTACACGTTTCAAGTCCAAGTAAAAATCGTTGAGGGACCCGTTCATAACATCACGTGACTCAGTGAACATCGCGCATTGACTCACGGGAAATAAGTTAAAAAAAAATGGCGGAAGCATTTTGCACGGAGGATACCAGGAAAGGTAAATAAACAAATTAAACTGTTTAAAAGTAGTTATGTGATGTTTAATAACATTAAATAATTATTTTTCTTACTATAATTAGTGTCATGTTTCCTCCGAGAAACATTAGGAAAGTTCAAATGCGTTTTTCTTGTTATCACGACATACTTCTGTTGAGAGAAGTAGTGGCTGTAAATTTCTATGCGTATAAAAATCCGAAAAATGCTTGGAAAAGTATATCTGAAAATTTACAGACGTATTACACCGTCAACGGTAGAAGATGCCGGGAAAGAACAACTTTACTTCTACAGTATTATGACAAGGTATGTGAATGCCATCTTGCCTCCCAGATATACAGTCTGTTACAAAAGTATACCACAAATTTTGTGATTTTTCAAAATTTATTTAANTTTTAATCTATTAATCTAAATGTATAGAAAATAAAATTATTAAATTAAACGAATTAAGGATAAAAATATTTATATGTAGAAATATTTACTTAAATCCTGAAATAAAATGTATTTGAACTTAGATAAAAGATAATATAAAATGTTTTTATTAACGTTAATAAACGTGAAATTTTCAAAAAATAACTTATTGTTGGCCGTAAAATATTCTGTCATAAATTACTAAACACATGTGGGAATAAAACGAAAAAACACATAATTTTGTATCGAACTACAGTGAGTAATCGAAATATCGAAAGATTTGTTCGAAAGTATTCGTGAATAAAAGCAGTCCAAGAAAAATTGTCAACAGAAATGAAGACTTTGAAACTGATCATCGCTTCTCTGCTGCTGATTTACCAGAAAATCTTCTAATCATTTCATTTGTTTAAAAACTAAATAATTTCTTTACAAAAACAAATGTTCATCGTTTTTTTACTATTTCTAGTAGGATAACAAATGCAATCTGTTGAAAGAAACAGCGGATATTGCTAATTTGGGAACTGATGTCTTATTTTGAGGTACTTGTGGACGACTCCAATTTTGGAATAAATCGACAAATAAATGTAGAAAACGATGTAATTGAGTCTCGGACATTTACTACAATGACAATTGCCTTTACTACCAAAAAATNCATTTTCAAGCTCTTTATCTTTTAATGATAATATATTAAAAGTTATCACTTTTTACTTGTTAGCAAAGTATAGGTACACTTTTTAAAATTACATAAAATTAATTTTTAAATATATTTTAAGCACTTAATACTTGGTTTCACCCCCTTTGGCTACAATTACTTGAAAAACTTTTTTAGGCATGGAGTTTTACTTTTTTAATTGTTCATTCTTAATTTCATCTTATGTATCCATTATTACAATTTTCAATTGATTTACAGATTCATATTGTTTCCCACTTTGATAAACAATTCCTGCTAAAATCCCCCATAAATTTTCAATTGGATTTAAATCTGGACTACATGAAGGCCAGTCAATATCACATCAATATTTTCTTTTTTAAAGAAATTTTTTGTTGACATTAGGATATGAATGGGAGCATTATCTTGTTGAAACTACCATTTATGATCTCCAATTAAACCACCAAATGTGATCATATTTTTGTCAACAAATACTAAATTAGTTTTACNACAGCGGATTTTGCTAATTTGGGAACTGATGTCTTATTTTGAGGTACTTGTGGACGACTCCAATTTTGGAATAAATCGACAAATAAATGTAGAAAACGATGTAATTGAGTCTCGGACATTTACTACAATGACAATTGCCTTTACTACCAAAAAATAAAACAATAGAGAGGTTGAGGCGCAAGTACAAACGTTAAACTTTTACGGCAAGCAGAAGTGCACGTTTAACGTTTTAAGTCCAAGTAAAAGACGTTGCGGCGCTCGTTCACAACATCACGTGACTCAGTGAACGTCGCGCCTTGACTCACGGGAAATTTGTTGAAAAATGGCAGATACATTTAATATCGAGGGTCATCAGCGAAGGTAAATAAACAAATTAAACTATTTTAAAACATTTATAAGATGTTTAATAACACTAAATAATTATTTTTAATTACGCACGATCGGACGATAGTACTACATCATACCTTTTTCGAGGAAAGTAGTGGCTTATGTAAGTTCGAAAGCAGCTCGGAAAATTAATTTTTACAAAATTTACAAACGTATTACGCTGTTGATGGTAGAAGATGCCGTGGAAGAACAAACCTACCTTAAGATAACCTATCATAAAGAAAAATATATGTAAATTCTATAGGCTCTTCGCACCACTTGCTAAAAAATTGAATAATTAAATAATTTCTGGATTAAAATCGTCTGTTTCTTTACAATATTATTCGTAAATGTTTATATAATCATTATTTTAATAAAATAAGTCACAATTTTAACTCCGAACAAAAAATGAAGTTTAAACCGATCTTCTACTCGCCGTGCTAGACTTAGCGACCGTCATTATCGACCGTCTAGAATTGCCAGATGGCGGCGCTCGTCCGTCCACCGTTCACGTTTTGGGCTGAATACGTGCGCCTGAATCTCTCTAATACAGTTACTGAAAACTGTAATACAGTAGAGCGTCGTTTATCCGAATCAATTGTGGACTGGTGTTGTTCGGAAAATCGATATTTCGATTAACCGATTATGTACGAAAAAATATATTAACCTATCCCATGTTGAAATTTTTCTCCGTTTCGTGTCGCTTCGCACTGAATTTTCGTCGATGTTAAGCCTAACGAAGACTATTGTATCGTTAAAAATTATTTTTTTATTTTGTAGAAACAAAATAAATATATTGAAAAATATAAAAACAATAAAAAATTATACTTCAGAAGTTAATTTAGTATCAAAAACGTAAAATATTTGAGTAGCCGAAGACATAGCCAAAGATTACAGCGCCACAGCACTGGCGAAAATTTAAATTTGTCGACTGGAATTCCTTCGGATAACCGACGTTTCGGATAACCGACCTTCGGATAAACGATGCTCTACTGTATTTTTAATACTTTCTTTTTGGAAAACACAACAGCCTTAGAAGTCTATAATACTATAGAAGGTTTGAAAAACAGCACTCCAGACATCAGTTTCTTAAATATTGAAATCTTAAAACACATATCTGAGTTACTTTGTACTCGAATATTTGTTGT